GTAATTTCTATGAGCTAACTAGGAGGACACTTTAAATAACAGTCAGAAGCCAATATCCCCCTCATTTCGGAGCTATCGACCGCTAGTTAGTGAAGAGCCGAGGGTGATCTGTTGCTAGGGTTCGAAGCCGCAGGGAGGGTTTCTTCCCCTGTTTACTCCGCATGGTCATTATCCAATTCCAACTCCGCTGTTTGTTCCTAACTCAGTTTAGGCTGCGAACAAATATCAGTGGGATCTACATATTAAATGGGAATGCCAAGGGGAGGATTCGGAAGGCCAGACCGCTGAGTCTTATTACAACAGGGGAAGCCGTCCTGCGTGTATGCATAATATATGGCGAGCATTAACGAATGGTATGCTCTATATGGATTCTGTTAAGGTCCAAAGGCGAGGAATGTTCTTGCACAGAGGAACGTTCTTGCAGGTTTTTCAAAATTGTTCATCACTGGATTTGGTTCATTTCAATGACTTCAATGAATATTTCTTCGATTGATGGCAGAAAGTCATTAAGTGACAATTCATAACCTTAAATTACTAAGAGGTTTAGTGATTTTTCTCTACGTGAAATCAGAGCATTGTACACTTGTCGAGACTATATTTTGTATTCGTCAATATAATATCCATAAAAAATGTACTTACAAAGAGAAGTTACGTATGTGATGTCACCAATTTCAATGAAACTTTTTTTGGTGAAACTAGGGCGAAAAATATTTTACCCATGTCCGAGGATTCTTGCCAATCCGCAAGGAGCCGAGAGAAATAATTTTTTTTTGACTTTGCTCTGCATGGATTTTTAAGTTATTATATATTAACCGATTTTTTTTTATGTAAACATTATTGACATTTAACTATAAACCAACAATTTAAGAGGGAGAGAAAGAGAAAAAGAAAATTAGGTATATTAATCTTTAAAATTAAAATCGCATAAGCGAGTTGTTTGTCTTTAACCATGATTCGATTATATTTCCAATCCTGTAAAATCAGTGAGTTATATTGAATATTTAACTGATAATGATACTCTATTCAAGCCATGAATCACTTTCGGAATTGTCTCTTTGTAGGTTTTTGACGAAGTTTCATTAGATTCTTTTTTATGGTTCCCGACACCTCTTATGCCTCCAATATAATTCGAAAGCTGCTTTGTAAAAAGTATTATTTTATTGTTTTATCTCCGAAACATCTTTAAAAAATTCTTTTCTATCTGTAAATACATTTTAACTCATCAGCTTCCGTTTTGAATAGAGCTAATATACTCTCAAAAACTTAATAATACCAAGAGGAAGAGAACATAACTATACCTAGCTAAAACTACTGATACTGGAACTATTAAAATGAAAGATGAGTTCGGCATGGCCCTTTTGGATTAACCCAAGGAGTCAAGCTTATTCCTCCATAACGAACTTTCTCGATTTTTTTTCCTTGATAATAATTTTATTTAGAATTATGGAAGGCCCAGAAGTGATTGTTTTGAAACCATTCGCTTCAAATAAAAAATTTATTATTTTTTTTTTATTATGAACATATCGTCGGTGTTATTGTGACACGGCGTAATAACAAAACATTTTGATTTTAGGTTATTTTAATAATACCTAATTTTTAGGAACAACAATTAATTGTTCTACTTTTATAGAGGATATCATACCAATCGCACTAGTATTTCCTGATATTTTTAGAAGTTGGAATTCGTCGATTACGAGGTTTCACATTGAATTTTTTAGTGCTATGGCAGATTTAGATACGCAATTTTTCAATATCGAAAACTAACGTAGTATAGATCCTTATACTACTACTACCACTTCCACTCTCACAGTGTCATTTTCCTGACAAAGTCGCATTTAAACTCTTCAAGCGATTTCAGAGCCCTGATCTCATAAGCTTTATAAGAGCAGGAGTAAGTTTCAAAGTTTGTATTTAACCACAAATTTTTAACTTCTTTTTAAAAGATACTCTTATTTTTTGGCTAAATTTGACGACAATCAGGCCCAGAAGAAGATGCTTCATCAAACCTTCCATCTACAGCCTGATTGACAGTACATCTTTTCCATTGAGGTAGTGATGATCGAGCGTGTTAAAGCCTTGTCCGTTTTACCATTCTCGTGTCTAGCGACACATGTTCGAATCTGGCCTGGGCAGATTGAAATTCATTTCGTGGCTGACCTTTCCTCTCTGGTTAGGATAGATTTGGTTTTACCTCTAGAACAACTTTTCTGTATGCCAAAAATGGCCGAGGTAAGGGATAATCCAACAAAACTTCGTATACCCTACAAGGCGAGAAATGAAAGGGAAAAAAGTACTTCTTTTCTGTCCTTAAGAATTCTAAATTCTACTATATCCTTAAGAATTTTATCAAAAACGTCTTCATTTGAGTTCCTCTGCCTCCTCATGAACTCACATAAATACAAATCTAGCATAGAGCGATGAGTCCCACATTCCTTTTTGTTTCTCCTTTTGGCCTTCGCCCATATAGATTCAACTCTTTGACTGTGTGCACTAATTTCTTGGTCGGCGAAGCTTTTGGAGTGATTTACAGTACAATGTCTGTAATCCTTTTCAATCATTCCTTCTATCCCACTATAGAACTTCCACAGGTCGGACATTATAATGGAACACAGTCTAATTGATGTTCCTATGCACTCCTCCAGGATTTCTCTTCTCCTATCGGGCACTGCGTACAAAAAACACTCATTAGTTTCACAGATCCCGCCAAACACCTATTGCTGTGGATAGGTGCGTCGTACATTATACTTTCGACGAGAAAAACAGAACTCGTCTATCTCAACTGTCAGTCCTTTCCCTCCAATACCAATCGGATTTTTCAGCAAACTAGCTGTGCATACCTCCGGCAGATGATTTATCCAACCTATAATTGTTGCGGAGCTCATATTGAATACTTTGGAACAAAATTTAAACGTCGTATACTCCTGTGCTCATGTTTAAATAAATAAAAGGGCTTTACTTAACGGTAACCTGCTGTCACATAGCCACGTAGCCGTATACATGCCACATTCATATCGTCATTCTTTTATTGCACCTATATTTTTTCCTCTCTTCGTAAAATTTCATAATGCGGCCTTTTTTACAGTAGCTCTCCTTAAGTAGAATTCATCTTTATTCAAAGAAAATCCTGGCTCGTTCCTCTTCTTTGCATTAATAGTAAACTTCAAAAATATTCATCGTGTTATCACTTAATAACCTCAATTACACAAACCATACTAAATAAAATAATATTTAAACATATGATTTTATTTCTATATCAATGGTATCAAGTTTCATAACAAATTTTACTAAATATCATTATAAAATCACTGACGGGCCTGATCTTAACAAGACCCTTACATTTTTATAAGAAATGTTATTTTTTTTCAGTATTTCTTTCTTAAAATATTATTACGTAAAATTTGAACACTTTTTTCAAACTAAACTGTTTCAGGTAAATCACGAAGTTCCTCTATTATTTTTTCAGAAGTGTATGTCATTCTATGATTACTTTAAAGTTTGCCCCTTCAGATTTTAAACATTTCATAATGATTATTCTTTAGTGGAAACAAATGAATGGTCAACTTGTTTTTCGCTTCTTTATAAGAAATGTCGATCTTCTACAAATAACGAAATATTTTCTGCACCTCAATGATAGTGACTTTTTCGCACATCAGCAGTTGGTTATGTCAACTGCAATTAGAAAAAAAAAAATTCACTTGTACCGCAATTTAGTATATTTTCACACAAAGGTGAACATGTTTTTCATGTCTAAAAATGTGTTTCAACCACTACATTTATTTACTATACGGTCCCATATTGTTTGATATATTTTGTTGCATATTTTAATAGTTTTCAATAAATGCGTAAGATGTGCTAATATTTCAGAGTACTCTCTCAATATGCTTAACATGCTCTAGATTCGTGGATAATCTGTGTCTCTTGGATCTATAAACTTCATAAGTACGTGAAAAAAAAAAAAATAAATAAATAAATAAAACCTATAACATTACAACCCATGAAGGGTCTTGGCCTCAGTACTATTTAGGGAAAGCAAAAAGGTTGTCCAAGGAGATGATTTGACCTAAATCACGCTCAACCGCCAGGTTTTTCCCCGTAATCAATTATTTTAATTAAGGGTACCCACTTTATAGAGGCTGGGTGTGCCCCAGAAGGGTCTACCTACCTATGGTCGATCCACGGCTAATGAAACAGAATAAATAATTTTTCTGCCATGAGCCAGGATTTCAACCTGGGGCCTTTAGCATTGGAAACTCAGTACCTAGCACTGAGCCATGCCACTACCTCGTAAGTACTTGTATTACTGTTACTAGGGACACATGGGTGGTTCTTCTTTTTTCATTTAATGTCCATGGGTGAATCTGCTAAGGCCAATCCTGAGGTAGGTAAGACCCACCTCTTTTTTTATCAGTTTTAGAACTCCCTTACATGTATCCCTTAGAACTAGGATGTTAGGGATGTTGTATATGTAGATTAAAGAGAACAGGTTTAACAGAAACTTCTATAGTGAAAAAAGGAGTTAAGGAAATTCACCAGCAATATATTCCTAATAAGTTCTAAACCACTTATTTCAGGTAAAATTACCTACCAATGTTCAAATCATTGATAACTTGTCACAAATCTGGCAGTTGTTTCACTGGACCTCCGATTGTGAATAGTGGTACACAATGTTGTTGACTGGACAAAATTGCACTATACTTCAATAATAATAATCCAATTGAATACACAATTCACAAACAAGAAACATGTATTTTTGTAGCAATCCAACTTGTTGCTAAGGAACCAAACAGAAGGTAGTAATATAGGCATTGGAAGATACTGTAATTTGTTATGTCTAGATCCAATTAATAGAAAACCCCTTTTTCAAATAAACATTAGCACATATATATTTAAACCATAGAACACGGCTACATTTGTTGAGAAAAATTTGAATGATAAACAATAAAGTTTAGTCGTATCCAAATTTCCATGTGTAAAAAAAAAAAAAAAACTTTTGCCATACAGCTGTTTCTTTCAATTTTTCTGACATTTATTAAATTAATTTCAATTATTTATTAGTTTTGAATAAAATTTTAATATTATTTTCAGTTTATATACATAAAATAATGTGTGAATATAAATTTGAAATAACCCTGAAAAATCATCTTTTCTTACATAGTTATGAGTAAATCATTGTATATTCCGTTGTAATTGAATTAATTCATTATGGCAGAGCTTACAGAAAGTGCTGAAGAACTGCTTAGAACAGGAATAAATATTTTTATTAATTTATACAACAACCAGTTTCCTACAGAGTTTGGATGGGCTCCTGGAAGGGTAAATTTAGTTGGTGAACATACTGATTACAATAATGGATACGTATTTCCAATGGTATGCTATCAAATTTTATTGTTATATGTCTTCTCTAAGTTGTTAATTTTGTTTTATTGAAATGTTAATTTTTTGTATAAATCATTTTTTATGTTAATTTCAATGGAAATGAGTTGGTCACATTGAGCCCAACTTAAATCCCAAACAATAAATAATTAAAACTTTTATAATAATAAAAATGTTTTAATTGGCAATTTTTTAAAAGGTTGCATTATTTTTATGAAAAAAATGCGAAGGAACATTCATTGCATCATTTTTATAGTTTAGTTTCTAAAACGCTTTTTACTTTTCCTAAAAATATTACAAATTATTTATGCCAGTTAATAGTTATATGTCTTACTCTCAAAGGTGTCGAGAAAGTTTAATTTGTTACTATGATAATTTTATGTGTAAAATTATTAAAAAATCTATCCTTATAATGATTAAATAATATCCTTTAATTGAATTAAATAAAATACAAATCAATTTAAGGATCATTCCAATGCTTTATATGTTTTTCATTATAAATTAGGAATAAGTTTCTAAAATGCTTACTAAATGATAAAAATAACTTCTACTCACCTAAAATTTATAAAGACATAGGATGATTCATTGCGCTTGGCCCGTAAACTCATTAATATGAGAACAGCATTTCGAACAAACCAAGAACGAGCTTTCCCGATTATTTTCATGATTCTATAAAATGTTTTAAGTATAAACCAAATTTAAAACAGCTTTTTAGGAAGGTTTTATGACTGCTATGACTGCTTCACAAATAAAAGTTGTAATCATGGGGAACAGACACATTTTTGAAAAAAAAAAATTTAGTGTAATTTTTGTATTGAAAGTGATGGTTCATTATTCTTTCAGTCACTATTATTATATGGCATTGTAAAGTAAATTATTAATATTTTAGAATTTTAACTTGAATATTGTATAGACGAGTGAAAAAAAAAGTAATAATATATGCTTAATCTCTATGAAAAAAAAATGAATAAATATGTTGTCGCAGAAGCTATAGTGAAATAAATATTAAAACTGTAATGGTATTTATAACCCCTTGTTAGCACCCTCCCCATTGGTTGGAGGAATCTTAAAATTAAAAGAAATTAAAATTTAAAACGTTTCTCCTATCCTCCATTTAATACTGAATGTTTTTATTAACAAATCATCAATTACTTATTAATGATTAATATAGTGAGATAACATTGATTCCAGTTATACGTTCTCATTTCCTCTAAACCCTTTAAATCAGAAATATTTTTATTACTGCCAAAAATATTTGGACTAAATACCTTATTATAGCTCCATATATATTTATTTAATGATATTTAACTAGTTCTCGAAGTTTAAACTTTCAGAATATAATTTTTTTTGTAACCATGTTTTGTAGGGTTGAAAATGTAGCAATGTATTAATAGTTTTTTAGAATTGATTTTAAATGCAAAAACATGCAGCTTAGTTTTTCATTAGACCATATCCAAAACATAGAGAACTGGTATAGTGCCCCGAAACAACTCATTCGCGAACCTGTATCGATTGGTTAGACTTAGTTAAATTTTTCATTATCAATAATATTTCTACAAACAATAAAATTTTAGTCTATATGTCCTATATCATTGCTGTTGCTAATTCTTTGAAACTTTATCCTCTAAAGAATCTAACCAAAGAAAGGAAGCTAATATCTTATCATCAAATTAGATTTAGGTAGAAACGTTCAACCATCAATCTGTTTCATGGGAATGTCTTTTCAAATTGAAGAAGTAAATGTTTGCTCAGGTATATATAATGTCGTATATAGCATAAATACTGAACAAAGCTGGATATCAAGGGCAGATGTACAAGCTTAATAAAATCTTGCTTGACAATATTTTATACTGTTACAGAGCTACTTAAGGTGAAATGATGCATATTCTTACTTCATGGATACACAAAATAACTTAGCAGTCAGATAATACTGCAAAAACAGCAAAATAAATTTTGTAATGTCAATTGTATTGTCGATCCTCACTGGTGTATTTTGACTGTAATGTAACTATTGTTACTGATATTGAATGCATATTTATTATTCTTACCTCATAGAAATTAAAAGATTATAATAAAAATAAAATAAAATGATTAAATTAAATCTGACAGGCTCTACCTATGGTTACAATGGTGATAGGAGCACAAAACTATTCTTCCAAGATCCGTGTTTACACTCACAATCCTGCTATTGAACGATGCAGTGTTACTTTTAAAGTACCTGATGAAGTAGATTTGACTCGTGGAGAGCCTGATTGGGCAAACTACATTAAGGGAACTGTGTCCTATTTCCAAGGTACTAAGTACTAATTTAATTTACTTTTATAATTTTTACAAGTTATTATTATTCTAGAACATAGAAATAAAATTCCCTGTTCTTCTTTCTTCATTTTACATAAAGTCAGTATACATTTTAACTAGGTATAAATTTTATTTCATCCTTTGTTAGATTATATAAAATTCAAGGTTTTATACCTGATAAAAATCTTTTCAAACGTTTTAAACCTATTAATTTATTCTTTATTCTTTAAACGTGTTAATTCATTCTCATAATAGTGTTTCTTTAAAATCACAACTAATTCTTAATTTTCTCAAGGTGCAAAAATACCAGGGTTTAATGCCGTAATCATGTCATCCATCCCTCTAGAGGTAGGATTGGGAGGAAGTGCTGCTCTTGTGATTGCGACTTATAACTTTCTTGAAAACTTAACTGGTGTCAAAACTAAAGAGTAAGCATATAAAATATTTATATTTCATTAATTTTAATATCAATAAGTTAGTTCAAAACAATACGAGTATTTTTCAATAAATCTTCATTGTTTTCTGCCTAAAGTTAAATTTAAATTGAATTTCTTTTAAGTTGAAAACAATTGTTTAATGATAAACAAAAATTCAGTCAAACTGCAATAAACAGGAAATATTTTTTGAAAATTCTCCATCCTATGTTTATGCCTTTATTATTATTTTTTGAGGGAGGAGAAATTCCATTTTTTCTTGTATCAGATGTATACAATACAATTCCACAATTTTGAATATCATGTTTAACATTTATTGCATCTGGTAGTTCTCCTATTTTTTAGGTTTAGTTACCAAAACTAGAGATTTAAATTCAAAAACCCTTAATTTGCTAGACCCTGTCCAACAGAAGTTTCCTATATATTAACACTATATTTCTATTGATAAACTAATGTTGATAGTCTCTACAGGCTGTTTCATTTAGTATACCTATTTTCTAAAATTTAATTGCTAAATTTATATAAGTTTTCACTAAAAATTTAAAAGTTAATGACTCTTTTTAACTGAGAGGATAAATCAACTTTAAAGATGCACTGAATTTTTTTTTTCAATCCTAAAATAGAAATACAATGTAAACCATTCTACAAACATTATTTACTATACAACATATACATTTGTTTTAAATATCTAGAAGTTATTTAAGCCAACTATGGCTTATAATTATGTACCAAGAAATACCTATACAAAAATGACCTCTCAGAACTCCCCTGGCCATACTCCACAGTTGCATTGATTTATAATTAAAATGATTTACGTACCTTATTTTGAGAATATTAATTCTACAACTAAATGAATAACTAATAATAATACAGATCTTATAATTTCTCTTAAAACGAAAAAGTCATTAAAGATCACTTACCTAGCTTTATTACAGTATATGTAGAAAATTCTTTTTGCATGTTTCATTTTCATAAATTCTTGTTTCCTATAATGTTCTATGCAGGAAATTATATGATGTGTCATTTTTCCTCACCTTGTACGACATCATCTAAAACATCGATTTTAAATTCGGTTAACAGGGGAGTTTTCATGAGCTTTTAATAAAAACATCAAATTAACTATAAATAATAATTATGTAGTTTCTTTCAGTTTGTTGACAAAGGCTCTCATTTGTCAAAGCGTTGAACATTGTTTTGCTCAACATCCATGTGGACTTATGGACCAATTTTGTGGAATTTTTTCTCGTAAGGGCCATGCACTCCTCTTTGACTGCATGTAAGTCAGAATCTTTTGACTGAATCGATAAATAATTGTAATATATCGATGGTTATTAAGTGATTTTATTTTATTTATTTGTGCTCTAGGTACCTGAATTGTAATAATGTTCCATTTAACGATCCAGACATTACTGTACTTATTATTAACTCCAATATTACCAAGAGAGTTGGTACTAAGTATATTGTTAGAAGGAACCAGTGCTTTATAGCTGCAAAGATTATGAATTATGATTCTCTCCGAGAATGTGGAACAAGGGATCTTTTAAGTAGATTGTTCCTCAATTGTTTAGTGTATTTCTAATCAAGCAAAATATATAGTAAGTGTACAAGTAAATAATTCTAACTTTATAGAATATCGAACGAAAATGGAAGATGTTGTTTTTCGTCGTGCTAGGCATGTTATTTCTGAAATGAATCGTACTATTGAAGCATCTCAAGCTTTGAAACTAAAAGACTATTATTCTTTAGGGCTGCTCATGACACAGAGCCACCATTCCCTAAGGTAAACATTTTATTTTTATTTTATTTTATTTTTTCATTTTATTCTTTGATTTTTACCGTCAACATTGTCATGAGCTATGGATTGAATTGTAACTAATATTATACATGGTGAGCCAGATTTCCCTACCAGCGCCCTCCCTCTTCCCTCCCCCTCCCCTTCCACATCCCTATAAATTGGATATTGTTGTGTTCCTAGTAAATATTTATTAAAAAAAAAAGCCAATGTTCCCACCAAAAAAAGTGAACGCACTGCTTCAAAATGGTGGATTGTGGATTGACGACTTTGAACTGTTTCAGTATTTGACCCTCTTTTTGCAGCATCTTGAAATATTCTGTTCATCTGTCTACTATATATTCGTTTAGCCATGTAATAGATACTGATCCTTGTTTTCTTTTTCGAGATTTCGGCACTTCCTTTCTCGTTCGCTTAATGTATTTTTTCAAGTTTTGGATTCAATTTCGCGTTTTCCCTCATTTTGGGACCAAATACTAACAATCAGTTCCGGTTACCTAGAACAACTTATGGCTTCGCCTTTTCCATCTTTCTTTCTTAGTGCAGAGAGAATAGTGCTTCCAATAATGCTTTTCTATTCTTTTTATGATATGGTCCAACTTCTGAACAAAATAAAGGAAATAAAAATTACTTTTTTTATTAGTGATATGTGAGTTTTACTAAAAAATCCATCAACTATTCATTATATGTAGTTCAAATCAGGTATATATTATTTTAGTTTATAAAACAGGTAATAGTATGACTTACTTCCAGAGAAGTATAACAATTTAAATTATCTCTAAGAATCAGTAATATACAAAACAAAGTTTTAAATGCAAACGTTAAATAAAAAATTCAAAATATTTAGCAAAGTATTTTTGAATTAATTTTTATTGTTATAATTATATCATTTTTACAATAGAGGCCTTCTTTAATGACCACCATATAGAATAAAGGAAGTTAAATAATAAAAAAATAATAAGAAGAAAAATAAATTTTAAAAAAATTTTGTACTTTTTTTGGACAATTAAGTTATTGCATTAATATTTGTTCGTTAATACAACCAATATAGTGTACCAAAAACGTTATTATAGCACTATAACTAAGCCATTTATGAGTTCTTAATGGTGTGGTAGAGGCCTGTGGGCATCTACGCCAGTACCGCTTTTCTGCCGCTTAAGTGCATTCTATACGGAATTGATTCAAATATTTTAAAAAGTAATCAGTGTTTTAGAAAGAGAACTATATTCTCTAGATGTTTTACTTCAGCACATTTTGTGATATTGTTGGTCGTTTAATTACAAACAACGCTTGATTTTCAACTTGAAAATTATTTTGTTATGAAAATTGACTTTACTGGTGTTTTTTATTGCCTAACCGATTGTTTCTTTCATGTTTTATTATTCTATGACCATCCAGCTTTAATAAAAGACCAACTATGACGAAATTAAGCCAAATGCTGATTCTCAGTGACCAAAAAACTAACTAAAGTCAAAGTTGTCAGTCCGCCATTTTGTGGCAGTGTGTTCACTTTTTTGTGTGAATATTGGCTTTTTTAAAATAAATATTTACAAGGAACACAACAATATGCAATTTACAGGAATATGGAAGGGGAGGAGGGTCGCATGGTAGGGGGGTCTGTGGCCCACAGACTATTACGTCTATATTACAAGATTGTAACAAAAATATGTAACATATACATGTGAATTTGTAACAAAGAAACTGTTGTGATACACTGGAGAAAAGTTACTGTGATTGAATAACTATTGTTCACCAAAAATTTCAAGAAAACATTACCTTGTAAAAGTTCACAAATTAATTAGCCAGTTTAGAAAATGTAATCTTATTTTTGTTGATTTATTTCAGGACAATGATCCCATCATGCTTTCTGCCTATATTGTAACAGTCATTTCAATCATTATTATAAATTATATTTACCTTTACTTATGTGAAGATTTATTTAGTAAAATCAATGTTTTTTTTTGTTTTTTTTTCTTTCGACAAAGTTATTAATTATCCATATTTTAAATATATTATAATTATAAATATACTCTATATATTAATGTTAAATAATTTCATTCTTAGATGATTTTTTGTAATAATACTTCGCTATAGTACCTACTAAATGTTTAAAATGAAGCCACCTTTTTATTTCTTCCTGTTTTTAAAAATTATTTACGAGATTCCAAATCAGTTTGGAAGTCTATTAATAATGTTTATTACTAATGTAATTCACTAATGCATACATGTTATTTTTTAAATCTAGAGATGATTTCGAAGTTTCCTGTTCTGAAATTGATGATCTTGTCGAGATCACACTTAAAGCCAAAGGTGTTTATGGATCAAGGATCACTGGGTCTGGGTTTGGAGGCTGCACTGTATCACTTGTATGAACATTTTAAACAAATTGAGTTATATATTTAAATTGATTTAGATTTAATTTAACAAAGAAATTTTAGAAATCTCGATTAAAATATGTGAGGAAAACAAACATTTTTCTGAAATTAAAACTGTTTTAGGTGAAAACGCAAAATGTGAAGGACATAATTCAGTATATAAAGAATAATTATCAAGGATCAACAGCTAATTTCTACACTGTTAAAGCCTTTGGAACTGATTTTATTATGGATCCGTCATTAGATATAATTGTTAAAGAACATTTATGAATTAAGTTTTATAATTACTGAAAATTCAAATGTTTACTTTGTTCGAAGTAATCTTCATATTTACTCTACCTGTTAGGCAGTACTGGTCTTGGACATTTGCCGTCCCTGGGCAATGACTTGATCTTTCTTCAAATAATTTAATTTCATTCTTAAGCTGTTTTCTATTAAGTAATATTTATTCTTACACCCTTTTTATTTATTTATTTTTTAATCCTAACAAGTGGAATTTGCCCGGGTTACTTGGCCCTAATGCTGGTACTGGTGTTAGTTCTAGATACGTTTTTAGGATACCTCTTTTGCTTACCCTCTCATTTCCTGAATTAAGATTTTAATGTAGATGCAGATAGTACATAATGTTTGTTATCTTCAAGTAGGCCATTCATTCAATTCATTAAAAGAAAAAAAAGTTTTTTAAACATCCCTCAACAAGCATTACAAAAAAATTGTATGTTGATTCATTGAATATATTCGTTTAATCAGCTTTTAGAAACCTAAGAGCTTAGATTATTAGCAATTTATGTCAAATAATGTGCATACTTTCCTGATTAAAATAACACCACTGTAAACTATTATATATTTAAATCAGAAAAAATCTATCTTGAACTATAAACTAATTTAAGGGAGTGGGGTAGCTCAGTGGTAGGGTACTGAGCTTCCAATGCTAAAGGTCCTAGGTTCAAATCCTGGCTCATGCCAGAAATGTTTAATCTGTTTCATTGGTCGTGGGACGACCCTGGGCAGGTAGGGAGGAAGGTTCCTGGGACACACTCAGCCTCTGTAAAGTGAGCACCCTTAATTAAAATAATTAAGGGAAACCTGGCGGTTGACCGTGATCTCAGTCAAATCACTTCTTTGCGCAACCATAGACCAAGAAACAGTGGTTTCCCTAAATAGTACTGAGCCCAAGACCCTTCATGGGTTGGAGAGGTACAGGTGTTTTTTTTATTTTTATAAACTAGTTTGAAATGTTTTCATCTTATAATTAAAGGTAGTCTCAATCAGGGGTGCTCACCCTCACCCCAAGGTTAATGGCACATGATCTTTCTCCCACTCTTGCTAAAATATTTTATTGTTCTCCTCTTCTTAGAAACAGCAAGCGAATGTAGAATTTAAAAAGAAATGTAGATTATATATAATTACAAATCCTGCAGTCTGTTCCATGCTTCCCCTAGTATTTTTTTGGTGGGAAAAATTTAATTTTGAATATTCATGATCACGTCGAAATGTACCCCCTCAAAAATTCAAAACCACCTCAAAATGTGCCTTCCTCGAAAATGTTGATGGCGCGACATGCGCCATGAAACCCCCTTCTGGGCACCTCTGGTCTCAATGGAAGATAATGAATCCTGTTTCTGGACCTATTTATTTTTTGTTAAAATGCATCTAATTTAAACTTAATTCATTTTATTTCTCACTGCATTTTTAACTATTGATAAAAAAAAAAAACACATTAAAAGGTTCCTTCTTCATCAACCTGTTATCTGATATTTAGGAATATTAAAAAAAAGTTTAATAATTAATTAAAATATAATTCACAAGTTAAAAAGTCTGATGTCAGAATTACAGTATAAAACTCAGAGGAGAATATGATTCACAGATTGGGCATTAACAAAAACACTTAAAAATACAGTTTTTGTTCAAAAAATTAAAATTTTTCTTTACTTCAGTTTTACATTTATTTGACCAAGTAATGTTTTTAATACCCGTAGACCCTTCTTTAATTTAATAACAATGATAGGAAGAATTGAAATTCTGTACCCCAGAGGTAAACAACACCAAGTCCCTTTTGCATTTGTTGAGGGGAGCCAATGTTCCATAACTTTGAGCTATTAGAATTTGTTTCTCAGTTACTTAATATGTATTCTGGAGTTAAAGTACACCATGTGACATTTGTATGTTTGTTCATGAAGCCAATTATTCATAGCTTTGAGCTATTGCAATTTATTTCTTAGTTATTGAATTATATAATAAGAAAATGGACATTGTGTCCTTTACCTCTGGGACACAGAATTTATACTTCCATTTAAAAAAAAAAAAAAAATCGGCTTTATTATCTTAATATCAAAATGTTAATTCTGAGTTGAATTTATCTATTATAAACATGTTTTTTTTTTTTTACTTTCCGATAGCTGTTCAAACATATCTTTTAAAATAAGATTGAAAACTACTTAAGCCACTGAGTAATAAAAATTATTTTGGGTGTTTTGCTTTTAAAGAGATTTTAAAAAGAGATTATAAATAAAGTTAATCATGAACAGTTACAAAATCACAATGATAAAAGGAAAAATAACAGAGGTAATGCATAGTTAATAATCAGTCATTAAAACAAAGTAAACATTAAAAAAGGGAAACTACAGTGACTGTCGAAACTACAAAAGCATTTCCTTGCTTAGCTTACCATCCAAAGTATACATTAAAATCCTAGAGAAGAGACTAAGAGAATTCATTGAGATAACCCTAGAAGAAGACTAATACGGTTGTAGACCAAAACGTTTGATTTGCATGTGATATATGGTATGATATTTTCCATATGATCAGAAAAACGAACATAAGCAAAGCACTAAACAACCATGAAGTTGATCCAGACCTAACGACGGCCATTCTTTGTCTATATTAAAAGAAAATAAACTTGGTCTGAACCAATATCCTTACATGTAGGGAGTTTCATGGCACCCGAGAAATAAGACAGGGTGTAGCCTTAGTCCTTTATTGTTTATAACAGTGCTCAACATGGCACTGAAGAGAGCTAAGTAGAGAATAAGACCCTTTAAACTGGGCCAGAGATCTAAGACCAGTTCATCTCATCTTCCTGTCAAATGCTGATAATAGTGTAGTATTCGGAGAACAATGGAAGAAACCTCCAATATAACCTCTGAGACCTGCAGGAAGAACTGCTCCTGCTTAACATGAAAATAAACATCAACAAAACGAAAATAATGAGGATAAGGATAGGAGGGGAAATAAATACCAAGTTCTTTGATTGAAGGGAGAGGAACTGGAACATTTCAGAGACAATCAGTATTTGGGAGTCCTTATCTACATAACAATGGCTGGATAGGACGGTGAAATGAGGGATAGGATAAGACTGGCCAGCAAATGCTTCCATTCACTAAAAACAGGCATCTTGGGGAAGAGAGAAGTGTCGAAAAATGTTAAGAAACTGTTTATAAAAATACATTTGACCCCATACTGACCAACACCAATGAATCTTGGACTATTGCCTCAAAGCACAAAAGCCAAATTCAAGCAGAGGAAATGTGGTTTCTGAGGACAATAGAGGGAAAACAAAAAGGGATGAAATCAGAAATACAACGATAAGAAGCAATCTGGGCAATAAGAAGCAATAGTATAATCAAGCCAGCAGAAAATACAATAGAGGAAAACAGGCAACACTGGTTTTGTCATGTCAAAAAAATGCAGGAGGAAAGAAAGTCCAAAATCATGTATGGAATGAGAGTTGAAGGAAGAATGCCAAGAGGAAGGTCCAGAAAAACTTGGAAAAATTCAGCCGGAGAGGATTTCAATGGGTGAGAGATTAACTGGAACAGACACAGTAAGCTGGTGCAAGAACAAGATAAATGGATCAAGCTGTATAAACAGGAACTGATCTATGGTAGAAGAGGAATCAATTAAGAAAAATAAATAAAAGCACTAACAATAATTTTTATATTCAAATACTTTTAATTTTAAATACGTAGTTTAATTCAAAACAATTGGCAGTTAATTATTATTATTATTCAGTTGTTTTAATTTTTTTTTTAGATATTATTATTTTAAGAACTGTAAGTATCTTGTGAAACCTCAAGATATAAATATAGAAAAGCAAATTTTTTTTAGTGTTTTTGTTGACATAAAAGTGACTTTTTGATGCTATTAGAATGTTGCCACCAAAAGATGTGTTTTTTTGTTCCGTCCTATTAGGTATTTTTCACAAGCTTTACAAGTAGTGTTCTCACTTGAATTAACTCACTACTGTCCCTATCATCTCTGCACTTTCCTCTCGTTCATGTAACTTATCAGGAACTTCCTGTATTCAACATCTACTTACAGCACTTCTTTTATTTTCACTTGCCTATAAGTTATTTAATGAAGAGAATGTTTTAATAAACTATCAAGTTTAACGAGTTTAAACTTAGTATTAGCTGTTAATAAGTTATTAAATTTTGTAATGAATCAATATAAATTAATTTAACTTTCAGATAATTCTGATGAGAGTATGAGTGATGAATGCATTAAATACCAGCAGCTTTTAATAAATTGAAAAATTTATATTATCATAATAGTTTTATTCTATTCTTGGGTGAAATGATGAAAATTTGCATTAGATAGAATTTTATTCAAATTCTTAAATACAATCAGACTCATTTAATAATTATTAATTACCTATTTATACAATTAAAATTCTTCAAATATTTTATTTATATTGATTTTAAATGCCATGAAATTAAAAAAAAAAATTCACAATGTAATTTGTATATTATAGACTTATTAATTTAAGATTATTATATAACTGAGTAATAAGTTAATGTAATAAGGTATAATAAATCGCCGATTTGACACATTTTTTCAATTTACTCTAAAATAGCTCTAACGATTTTGATTAAATTCATTACATTAGTGTAAAATTAAGTATATTTTAATTTAATGTAGGCCTTATTCTCATTTATGTTCTCTCACAGGGCTTAAATGCCCAATTTTCAAAATTTCTTCCCCTAAAGTACCTTGCATTTTTTTTAATTTTTTCATATTGTATAACGTACTGAAAAAAATTATTAAATGTAATTAATGAATTAAATTGATTGGTAACTAACGGAGAAATAAGAGTTGAGAGCTATACGGAAACAGCCGAGAATGTCCGATCTTTCCCTATCTCTTCTCTGTACACATATCTGATACCATTCACCACATGACATTCATATTGTTGGTTTAACTTTTATATATCACTTATCCATACCATAACTTTCTAAAAAGGTTTTTATGCGAAATATTGAGAATTTACTAATATAAACCTGATAAAATACAATAATTACTAACGTTAAGTTATTCTGTTGACAATTTTCTCGATAACTGTTTTCTTATTTTCTAAAACTCAGAATTTTCCAAAAAATCTTTTTTCCTCCACATTCATTAGTATTGTTTGGTACTAACTATATACAGTAGTAAAAGAAAATGGAAAGTTGTGCAAACGTATAAATTTAACAGATTCGATGGGTTGGAAA